GTCTTTTTTGCCTCTTTTTAAGCTTTTCCAAAGAGCTGGTGCCAGGTCGCCAGCCTCTAGACTTGTGGGTATCAGTGAGAGGTCTTTTCTCTCTGTTCTTCCGTTACTATTGTTTTCCTTTACTGTTGAGGTAAAATTTATACACAGTGAAGGCCACACATTTTTATGTGTGCGGTGTGGTATTTTTCCATAGGTATACTCCTGTGTAAATACCATCCAGATCAGGATATAAAACATTTCCATCACCCCAGGAGGCTTTCTCGTCCTCCTGCCCATCACTACCCAACAGGCCCTCTGCTCTGTCCCCACCCCATTGACCCAACTTGTCCTCACACCACTCATAAACTGTCCTTGAATTTCATATGAGGTGGCCTTATATACCCTGAACCTCACATTGTCCCCTCAATACCTTCACTTCTATTTCTCTTTTTTTCTGATCAATTTCAGGCAGCCTATCAGCCTTCTGATGGGCAGAGCTTCCTCCTTCTGGCACATCACCTATGTCCCCTGAGATGGGCAGAACCCTCAGATAGTTCTCCTTTAGCAGGAGATGTCCCAGGACATGTGAATACCTCCAGTGGCCCCAGATGGGCCTGTCCTCCCATTCCTGGGCCGCTGTGAGACTCTGATGGCTTTTGCCCCTGCACCACTCCCTGTGGCATCGTGCCTGGTCTTCTTCACTCAGTACTTCTCCGCCTGGCCCCTGCAGACACTGAAGCTAGTTGGATGGGAGGAATCAGGCAGGCTTCACGGAGGAGGGCCGTGGTCTTGATCTCCTGTTGGAGTGAGGTCCCCTCCAGTCTTCTCAGTTCCTCTCCTGAGGGTGGCTGAGCTCATCAGACCCTTTCCTGAGAGACGATTCACAGCTGTGCTGGGGGCAGGGCGGGGGGGGGGGGGGGGGGGGGGGGGGGAGCGGGCCCAGCCGGGGAGACCCAGCCACGGGGGGTGGGGGGGTGAGTGGGAGTGTAGATGCTGAGGTGATCCACTTAGGCACGTGGGAGAGGTTCTCAAAGTATGGGCCACCAGGATCAGAGCCCCATTCTGTTCAAAATGCTGACCTACCACGGAATCTGGGGCGAGCCCAGGTAATTGCTGAGGTCATTCAAATTCGAGCACCACAAAGAAGAGGAGGCTGGGGCGTAGAGGGCAGTGAGATCAGACAGAAAGCATGGCCTCTAGGGCAAGGCTGGGAACCCCCTCCATCTTCCTGCCTGCATACGGGGCCTTGTGAACACCCCCCTTCTGAGCACAGCGGGGGCCCTCACAACCCTAAGGGCACAGGAAACATCTTCTCCAGCCT